ACGGGGGTGGCAGCATCATCCTGTGGGGGTGCTTTGCTGCAGGAGGGACTGGTGCACTTCACAAAATAGATGGCATAATGAGAAAGGAAAATTATGTGGATATATTGAAGCAACATCTCAAGACATCCGCCAGGAAGTTAAAGCTTGGTCGCAAATGGGTCTTCCAAATGGACCACAAGCATACTTCCAAAGTTGTGGCAAAATGGCTTAAGGACAACAAAGTCAAGGTATTGGACTGGCCATCACAAAGCACATACCTCAATCCTATAGAAAATTTGTGGGCAGAACTGAAAAAGCGTATGCAAGCAAGGAGGCCTACAAACCTGACTCAGTTACACCAGCTCTGTCAGGAGGAATGGGCCAAAATTCACCCAACTTATTGTGGGAAGCTTGTGGAAGGCTACCCGAAACGTTTGACCCAAGTTAAACAATTTAAAGGCAATGCTACCAAATACTAATTGAGTGTATGTAAACTTCTGACCCACTGGGAATGTGGATGAAAGAAATAAAAGCTGAAATAAATCATTCTCTCTACTATTATTCTGACATTTCACATTCTTAAAATAAAGTGGTGATCCTAACTGACCTAAGACAGGGAATTTTTACTAGGATTAAATGTCAGGAATTGTGAAAAACTGAGTTTAAATGTATTTGGCTAAGGTGTATGTAAACTTCCGACTTCAACTGTATGTACAAGTCTTGACTGAGCATTCACTGTTGTCATGTCAAGATTATGGTATGATGTGGATTCCTGGATACAAACTTCACTTATATGATGGAACCTTGAATACTAATAACTGAGTGAGTCATGTCATGATGGCATTTTCAGGTTATTTGAAAGCCGTTTTGCGTCTACAGTATATGTACTCCTTTATGGACTATGACATATTGAATTTGAATGAGTTTCAATTGGAAAGACAATTGAGAAGGGATTAAGCAATGTGGTGTGACAGGATTTGTGTGTAATCCTTCTCTAGAAGGAAAAATACATCTTAGAATGTTGATTGAAATTGAGGAATCTCATGAATAAGGGAATATGTGGGTTGGCTTCAAAGTGAAGTGACCTGAATCCCATTTGAATGAATTGTTGAATTTGAGTGACTGGTATAATCAACCAGCACATTTTTATTTTGTCAAATCAAGTCAATCGGCAAATGCATAGCCAACAATTTGCAACATTATACTCTTGCAATCAAACCATTGAGTTTCCCTTCTAATTCAAACACCAAAATACTAGATAACAGATAGGCCTAGAGCAGTGCTCAATCCTGGTCCTGGGGCCCAAAGGCTGTGTTCACACATGGAGCCCAATTCTGATATTTTCTTTACTCATTTGTCTTTTGCCCCATCTGATCAGCTCTTTTGCCCATAATTGGGCAAAAGATCAGAATTGGGCTGTCTGTGTAAACACAGTCAAAGGGGTGCATATTCTTTATTTTGCCCAAGCACTCACACACTTCGTTCAACTAATCAACTCTAGGGCAAAAACTAAAATGTTCACCCCTTTGGGTCCCTAGGACCAGGATTGAGAAACAGAGTACTGTAACAGGGTGGAGGTACCATTATTAGAGTAAATTAATTTGAGGCTTGTCAAAGTTCGGTAGCCAAAGTGAATCCCTTCATCGGGGATTGGACAACAGTAGGGATTCTTCAATGAAGTGTTTGTTGTCATTCAACGACAGACGACTAGTTTTAATACACATTTTTTTGCTTAAGAAATACTGCATCAAACATATTAGTTAATGTAAAATTGCACGACTCAGCTAAATTGTCAAAATTAATTAGAGATTTCTTAAGTTATTTTAGGTTAATTCAGATTATTTTAAGGAAGTGTACTTGTTACTACGGCGTCTCAAGAGGGACAAACAATAATATGGCTGCTTTTTTCTGTTTTCTTCAAGCAAAGGTATTTTAAGGGAGTATGCGAGCACTTCGCCTAGCCGAGTTCTGCTAGGAGCAAACCAAACCTATGTATGCGGACACCTTAACCCTAACCTTAGCCATAACCCTTACCTTACCCTAACCTTAACCGTTTGACATTTCAACTTCAATGGGTTGACGTCAGAGTTGGGACTTCCCAAGGATTCTGTTTTCCATCTTAAATGTAGTCAATTTTCTTCTTCTATTGTGTTTGAAAAAAGTGTGGAGCTAATTTTTGTGATTTACCACCACATGCAGTGCTGGAGTCCTGAACCAAATCTTGTCATTCATTTATTGTGGCCACTAGATGGCGGCAGTATAGCTTAAAGCCATTTACAAACCATAGGACCCAATTTGAAGAAGACTTTGCTCTTTGAAGAAGGAGACGGCCAGCAAATGTATTTGTGTTTTGTTGTGTATTTGTACAAAGGTCCGCATAAGCACTTTGATATTTATCTCCACTTAAAGTATTGTGTGAAGTTTGCCGTGCCTACCATTAAAGAGCAACTGCCCTTAAAAACCAACTTCTCCCTTCGAAAATGGCTGGGTGGCATCGATATGAGTCAGAAACATTTATTCTAATGTCAAAATGTACTACAAAGTGTAAATAGGATAATTTTGTTCATAAAGTCAGTCTCGTCCAAAACTGAGATTTGCGAGATGATAGGAAAAATATTTATGTCACGGAATTTAATCACAGCTTTCCTTGTATTGGGTTTATTTCAATCCTGCCTACAAGCCCACAGCTGGCAGCACCCAAGTAAACAGTGCAGCTCCACGTGACCCGATTGCAATGCACATGGACAATTTTGTTTGACTTTGGATATCCCTATGGGGCTAGTTGGGGACCATAAGTCATTTACACAATGTACATGGGAGAATCTGTTAAAATTCCAAAAGCTCCAAATTTCAGTGACTTAAAAACCTCAAACCAACTATAAATTGTAGAAATGTATATACAAATATTGAAAGCATTTAATGAGAAATCAAAAAGGTGTGCAACATGAAAATATTGTCTAATTTACATTGTGTAATTTATTGACGGTCCCTAACTAGCCCTGGAGATAGGCTATCCAAAGTCAAAGCAACTTTTCCACGGTCAACACCAGCCGGCTGAAGCTAATTGGCGATGGAATTTGGCTAGCTCTTCCCACCTGCGAACACACACACGAGACACGCACATCAAACCACGTTTGAATTCAGTCATGGCCGCTAGCATTTCTTAAGGGGCCAAATCGGGAAGATCAGCCACCCTTTAAGATTTGCTGTGCCTTTTGAGATGCAATGTTTACTTGAGAATTGAATATTGCATGTGATCACTGAATTGTTGCCTTTGTATTGAAGACTTTATACCCACTGTTATTTACCTTTTTCAAGGCAATCTACATATTCCAAGCACACCCGCTACGGCCCTAATTTAATCTTAATTCTCTGTAATAAAATATATTCTTTGTGATGATAACCATGTGTTGTGAGTGCCTGTATACTCAGTTCAAGTCTTAATTGACTATGCCCTATCTAGTTTACACAGGCAGCCCAATTCAGAACTTTTCCAATTATTTGCATATCTGATACCTATCTGATCTTTTCAGACAAAACACACATTGGCTGCATTTACACAGGTAGCCCAATTCTGATCTTTTGCCCATAATTGGGCAAAATATCAGAATTGGGCTGCCTGTGTAAACACAGCCATGGAATCTGATATTTTGACTTCCGATTTATACTACCTCCATGTGGCTTTGTTTACACAGGCAGCCCAATTCTGATCTTTTACCCAATTATTAGCAAAATATCTGCTCTGGTTGGTCAAAAGACCATCAGTTGGGCAAAATATCAGAATTGGGCTGCCTGGGTAAACGTGACCCTTGTGGATTTAAATTCTGATACAAACCCGATCCTCCATATGTGACCTCTGTCTGGATGCTCAGATCAGATTTTTTTTTTTCTGAAGTGTTTTTTGTTTTTTCTCATGACCTGTCATTACCAGTGGTGGAAAAAGTACCCAATAGTCATACTTGAGTAAAAGTAAAGATACCTTAATAGAAAATGACTAAAGTAAAAGTGAATGTCACCCAGTAAAATCATACTTGAGTAAAAATAAAAATAAGATACTTGGTTTTAAATATACTTAAGTATCAAAAGGAAATGTAATTGCTAAAATATACTTAAGTATTAAAAGTAAAAGTATAAATCATTTCAACTTCCTTATATTAAGCAAACCAGACAGCACAATTTTCTTGTATTTTTTATTTACGGATAGCCAGGGGCACACAACACTCAGACATAATTTAGTGAGTCCGCCAGATCAGATGCAGGGATTTTCTATTTTATGTGTGTGAATTAGTCCATTTTCCTGTCCTGCTAAGCATTCAAAATGTAACGAGTACTTTTGGGTGTCCGGGAAAATGTATGGAGTAGAAAGTACATTATTTTTTTTAGGAATGTAGTGGAGTAAAAGTTGTCAAAAATATGAATAGTTAAGTAAAGTATAATTACCCCAAAAAACTACTTAAGTACTTTACACCACTGGCCATTACCATGACAACCACCCCAAAAATGTAAAGGAACAGAGACAGGAAATGAGCATTGCATCTGTGTGCTACTTCAGAGGCTACATCAGTGTGAATGCCCAAATCTGATGTGGGCTGTTTAAAACTTATCTTGGACAGTCAGAAAATTTAGAAAGAAAATCAGATTTGGGTTCTTAGGATGTCTGCATAAACACAGCCCTAGAACCTTTGGGTGTTACAGTAGGCTACCCTTTTTTTAAAGTTATGTGTATTGAGTTTCTCTAACTATCCGGATACATGGGCCTCCCCTCAGTCTGGTTCCTAGAGGTTTCGTCCTCCTTCAGTTTTTCTTTGCCACTGCTGTTTAGGGATCTCGGCCTAGTTGCTTTAAAGCCTTTTGTGACAACTGTAAAAGGGGCTTTATAAATATGATAACATTTCTTTAACTTTGTCTCAACTGTGGACACGTGTAGCGCCACAGTCCTTATTTGGGGGAATTTGACAACATCACCGCATGTGTTATTCAAATTCCGTGGCCCTTTTGTTCTGTTTCCTTAAGAGTGACAGCGCCAGCGTGCATCGTGGCGCGAGCGGTACCTCGTCCACGGAGGAGTAGGTGAATGCTGCGCAATAGACGTAGGCGTGCGTATTGAGTGGCTCCCATCAGTGGCTTTACAACTGCGCAATAGGAAATCTGAATCACTCATCCCGACTGTTTCGCTCCTCAAAATGTTTTCCATCTTCGTTTGTCAGAGGTAAGCGAGAGGGGCAGTCATCGATAGCTACACTCTGCCAGGCTGTTTGTTTGTTAGGCTATTTGCATTTTATTTAAGCGACGGACCTTGTCTTAATTCAGAAGCTTCTCTCTGCGCCATAACTTGATTATTGAAAATCTTACATAATGCAGTTGAAAAGCCAACGGTCAATTATATTTCACTCATAATGTGCATGAGAAGGGATATATAAGTATCTACAATTAAGCTATAGAAATGTAGGCTACTTGTTCAAGTTACATAAAACTAGGAATTTAGACTATAATGCCAACACATTGTATTCTAGGCTACTGGGCGATCCACCTCTGTGGTTTTATTTTAGTGTGTCAATTTAGTTAATCATGTTTCTAAAGTTCCCCCCCCAAAATATAACTTTTAGAGGACTGTTTTTTTTTTTTTTAAATAAATTAGTTGGCTATTACTTACCCATTTTATGAATTCATTACCATTCTCAATATGTCCACTTGGTTCTGTAAATATGGTGTCTTATTATCACGTTTAAATCCCACGTGAAGTTGCGGCGGGAATTGGGAAATAAACTGAATGCGGAATTGGCATATTCCCACTCAATCGCTCTCTCTCACACACACACACACACACACACACACACACACACACACACACTCACTGAAATATTCCCAATTTGTTTCACTAGTTTCTGTGATGCAATATGGATTATTGTCCACAAGGTGGAGATATCTGTACATGGATGATATAGAAGCCTACTTTTGTGTGGAGGTCTATGATTCATTTTCATACAGTTACATGTAGGTCTGTTTAGTGTAGATCATTGCATGTGTTATGGATTATTGTCTAATGTAGATTATTACATTTTATTTGCAATTAATGGTTGTAATTCACTAGTAATTAACTATATTTTTCAGGGTTTGGTTATTGGCCAGTTGAGCCATAATGAATTTTCCTAATAAGATACTAGATCATGTACCTTCAGTCAGTACTAATCTAATCAGGTCTCAATTTAGTACTTCTCTATGTGTTTGTCATATAACATTGACTCCAGGGTGGTGATCAGTGGGGTTACAGAACGTTCAGATGAATGGTACTTGGAACAGACATGATGATTCTGTCATGTAGAAATGGTGCCCTCCTGAACATGAGCCAGCTCTCAATCTGTGTTACTCTCTGATTAAATAATCAATGCAGTGTTTGCTCTATTCAGTTGCATGCTATTAACACATGCTAATAGGTTTTTCATTTCTCTTGACAGTGGGTGGTGGCAGGTAACGAGAGGTGAAAAATGGCACAGCCTTTGTAGACACCCTATCAGACACCTACAATTGAGTAGCACTTTCTGTTGGCCAATAGCAGAGAGCGATGCATCCACACCTAGGACAAGGGTGTGCCATAGGAGAAGAGGACAGAAGATGAAGTGTCAGCTGTAGCCAATGGAAGCCATGGTTTGATTGACTTGCAGAAGATGAACGTCCAACAAAGCCAATAGCCAACAAGATGAGGTGGGTTTCCAAATCTGCTCAGCCAATGGGAAGGGAGATAGCTCAACCAAATTATGAATAATTCAAATAGTCTATGAGCTCGAAGAGATTGTCTGGTCCATATTCCTGTATACATAGCCACAGCCACTATTTGCATTGATAACCAAAATAAATAACACCATGATAGTAAATCGAACATGATCTTCAAATCATCTCTTGCTACAAGTCTCAATGCTTCGATTACAATCGATTCACCTCAACAGATTCTGAATGCACAGCATTGTACCATCCTTATTATGCAGCCACAGCACACACCATGGCAGCCACTATGCTGTATGCAGTATGTATAGTGTATACAAATAAGTAGGCAGTGATTTTGCTTTTCAAGATGCCCCAGTGGTAGAGGGGGCACACAGCATGCAAACTGTGTGTATGTGTGAGAGCAGGGGCGAGGGTCCATGTTACACGATTCGTACATGGAGGGTGTAATGTTCAGTTTCCATGGTGAAAATGGAATCCAGCTCTGTGGCAGTGCCTGCTGATTGGCTGATATGGCCACATGGGGTTGTGCTGTGAGCAGATGGCTGGCCAATGGGGTAGAGACAGCGTTGGGGCTGTTGCTAAGGGGAGTCAGCTGGACTCTTCGGAATACTCTCTCTCTCTCTCTCTCTCGCTCTCTCTCTCTCTCTTGCGCTCCTCTCTTGCTCTTCTCTCTCTAGCTCCCTCTGTGTTTTTCACGGACTCACCCTCTCTCTCTCTCTCTCTCTCTCTCTCTCTCTCTCTCTTGCGCACCTCTCTTGCTCTTCTCTCTCTAGCTCCCTCTGTGTTTTTCACAGACTCACCCTCTCTCTCTCTCTCTCTCTCTCTCTCTCTCTCTCTCAGCTCTGTCCTTCAGACTGTCTGTGTCTATCCACTGCTCTTACTCTCTCTGTGTCTCTGGTGTATTGGTTGATTAAGGGTGAGGTGAGGAGAGGGGGCCAGTGAGAAGCAGCTCTACTGGCTGTGGGCTTTGAGTCACGTAGGCAAGACCCTCCCAACATAAACCCAATGCCCCCTACCCCACCTCCCCCGGATCATGTCAGCTGACTTCCTGTGGGTCCAGTGCTGGGGTCCAGTGCTGCTGGCCTGGTTAGTCATCCACTACGACTCATTGGTCGTCCCTCATTCTAATGTCTATCTGCCAGAACCACGCACATAATCACCACTCTCCTGATTAATCACACAGACATCAATTATTACACACATCAGAGCTCAGTCTGCGCAGCATCCTACTTTGCCAATATGACTCTATATTCCTCCAATATATTATCATTAAGATGATACAGTATGACATGTTTCTGTCCATTTTCGGCGAATGACTTATCGTCACACATATAATGTCTTACCCTCTGACATAATTGAAATCCCAGTCATTCCATGGCACTATTGCTCTCTTGTGGCACTTTTAAACTGAAGGTTTTGTGAGCTCATGTCGAATTCAAGGCATGTGAGTTTAATGTCTGAAACAAAATGCTTGTGTCATACAGTATGGAGGGAGAGAGTCAGTCCACCTGATTGGAGCACAATGCAACTGATTCCAACATTTGAATAGAGTAAGGGGAGAGTAGGAGTATTACTGACAGTGCTTAGAGGGCAAGTTCATAACTATCAATCCATTAATGGAAACCTTTACAGTTGCCAGTGATACGTATGGAGTATGCTGTACGATTTGGGGAATATCTGCCAGAGAGAAAATGGAGTCTTTGCTACCTCACTGTGGTGGTTTAAAAATAGCTTCTAGTTCTGTTGGCCTTATTCCAAAACACACACACACACACACACACACAGAGAGAGAGACACCCCCCTCTATCTTTCACTCTGTCTTTGTCCCCTCCTCCTGTTTAGTGTAGGAGGATTGACATGAGACCCTCCTCCCTTATTGGCTGGTGTGAATTAAATGGCGGTGTGGGGGCCCGCCCCTCAGGTCTCTGCACGTGGATCAGTCTGCTGTTCGAGCCTGAGTATCAGAGGAGAGGAAACCAGGAGAAGAGGAGAGGGAAGAGCGGAAGAGGAGAGGATTGGGGGAGGAAAGAGGGAAAGGGAGAGGAGCCGAGGGGTGTGGAGCAGAAAGAACGAATAAAAGAACAGAAAAAAAAGGAAAGAACAGGTAAAACAAGGAGAGTGTGTCTGTCTGTTTCTTTGTGTTACTGTACAGAAGGTGTGCAATTGTGTATGCATTTGTGCAAATAATGTTATGGTGCATGTGTTAGGACATGTCTTTGTGTTGATATCTGACTACTGCACAGAGGGTGTACTAAGCTGTGTGTCTGCAGCTTGTGCAGCACAGTTATGCAGTACACACACACTGTACATAAACACAGTCAGCTGATTTGTAATTGATTTTTTTTTTTGAGTAATGGTTATTCCTGTAGTGTTAGTCTCTTTAAGCCTCTGTTTAGACTCAGGCTTTAACTTGTGCTTTAGAGCAATGCAGTGTTTGGTCCGTGTTGATGTGTGAGTTTGGTTGCTGTGATACAGTAGTAAAACAGAGAGTAACCTTATATTTCCGTGCTGGAGTGAGTCCAATGATTGCAGCGCGTGACCTTGTGTCAATAGAAAGCTTTCCGATAGGGAGTGCTGCTTGTCAGTTTATTGCTAAACAATGTTATTGTATTCTGATTTGTATTTTATTCATGACAATGCAGACCTTTTTAGATTCAAGCTTGCCAGGGGTTTTCCAAGTGTGCAGAGCCCAAACAGGGAGCCTGGTATTGGGATAACGACACTTGTGTCCTCCTTTTGCTAAAAATGGCCAAGCATTGTCGACCCACATTTAGTGCAGTATTTATACAGTACAGTGACTCACTCTCCTCTGGCAGCTGCAAATAGAAGGAGTAAAGAGCAGCCTTGTTTGCCCTTGCTAAGTCACAACAACGCACCCATGTGGATACAAACACATACTAACACACTAACACACACACTCTGGGCATCAGGCAGTGTTTCTTCTGTGGGCCACCACTGGTCACCAACCAGTACACCCAACCACTTGACCATGCTGTTCTATTATGAGGTTAATGTTGAGCACACACACCAGCTGCCTGTTTTCCTCCCAAATAGGTTCCAGGTGGTCGGATTGGTCCGTGTGCGTTTCATTGGAGGAATTTAGTGGTAAATCTTTGTCTTTGTTCTGAGAGACTCAGTAGTAGGCCGGGGTTAGAGGTCAGGGGTGAGGGGTCAGTGTGAGAGCTTTCTGATGAGGTCCCAGCCCCCTCAACCGCCCTGCGGGGTCACAGATCATTCAGTTCCTGCCCTGCTGATGCACGTGCCTAGTGATGATCTCCATGACAACCAGTCCTCTACACATACTAGCACAGACACGCTCTCTCTGACACACATTAACGCACACACGCGCAGACACACACTCACTCACTAACACACAACCACACACACACACTCCTTCATTGCTGTCGTCTTTGAAATGCCACCTGGTCTGTTGGTATCGTTTGCAAAAAAAGACGCCCCCCCTCCAGCCCCCCTGTTCCAAGCCTGCAGTGGTACATTCCAGTACTCCTCTGAGGTCTGTGCATACAGAGGGAGAAGCCTCCATTTTGGAGAGAAAGAGAAGGTAGAGGAGGGGAGGGCTGTGAGGTTATAAAAAGTTATTTTTAGAAAAGCAATTTATATTAATCTCATACTTTCTGCTTTGTGTCAACTCAGGTCAGCCTTTTACATTTTCTTACAGACATTGAGTACCTACAGTAGGCTACATACACATCAGTGTCTCTGTCTGTTAACCTGTGGATGTGACGCTGTATGTGTCAGTGTCCATTTGTCTGTTTGCTACCCTGTCAGTCTTTATTCCAGGTTGATTTGTGTAGTTGTGTTTTGTAGGTGTGACTGAGAAGTGATGTCTCCCTCTTCTCTTAGTTCTCTTTCTCAATTTTTCTCTATGTATCTAAATGCTCCACATGTTCAACTGGGAATGGGAGTTGGGTATCAGAGCCAGGTCTGGTGTGGTATGGTGGTGCAGCCCATCCCCCCCCCCCCCCCCCGATATAAGATAGGATCAGTGTGGTGCTTCCTGCCTCCCACTCCACTAAGCAGCTTAGTGACCTCTGTCTGTCTGTGTGACTGCACTGATTGTAGAGGCTCCGCCATGTTCACCCACACAGAGGGATGCACGTCTGCACTGGGTTACTATGCCACCAGCAGGCTGATGCAAACAGTGTTCAATGTGTGTCAATGTAGAGTAACAGGGTGAGGATTATTGCTGTATTGGAATATGTTGTCTCTGCCTCTTTGATTGAGGGACACTACTGTTCTTGTGTCAGTTGCAGATAAGTTGAAAGGCAGGGTTTGACAGTGCAAAGACATTCTGCTCTAATGTCAACATTTTTGCTAACTTCAAGACTCTAGAGACCGCAGAAGGATTACAGGGATTATATATGCTTCTATTGAGGCAACTCAAATTTGAGAATTGTAAGCATATGACTCCCATTGTCAGAAGACTATTGTGCATGGTATTATTCTGCACCTTTTCAAGCAGGCTGGTTGATAACTGAGGCAAGCATGTCTGCTAATCTGGAGAGGTTAGTTAGTTACTTCCTGTTGGTTCTGGGGGAGAGGACGGGGCAGTCTCACCCCTGGGGCTGACACCTGACTGGAGAGAGGAGAGATGGGAAGGAGGAGAGGGAAAAGATAGAGGATGAGGAGGCGTTTACTCGATCATGATTATTCAGTACAGGAACTAGGGTTGGGCGGTATCCAGATGTTCATACCGTCAAACCGTTTCTGTACCATACCGAGTTATACGGTATTAACGGAAGTGCACACGAGGGGCGCTATTTTCTTTGTTGATGCCCCAAACAATTCAGGCAACAGGGATCTTCCTCCAAGAGTGAATTGAATGTTTCTGCTGTAACTAAAAAGCTTGATCTTGACATCTAGCCACTTAGCTAGCAAGTTAGCAAACCAAATGCATAGCTGGAGCCCTGAGCTGGATATAATGTATTTGATACATCTTAGATTCCAGTTATAAAACGGGATTGAAAATCATACCGTCGGTATTTGTAAATACTCCGTTATACAGTATAACTGATATAAGGTCCAAGCCTAAAATGAACGTAACTATTAAGTCAGTGGAGAAGCAGGGCTTCTTGTCTTTAAGATCTGCAGCAGCAGGGGATCTTCAATTCTTTATGAACATCTTAAGGCCTATATCACAGTTTTAAAGGTGACTTATTCTCTCAGATTTTCTTCTTCCAAAGCAGATGTTAAAAAGATGCATTATTAATAACATATTTTAGACTTGTTTCCCTTCACAGAACAGCATCGGAATTAATTAATGGGTATTGAGTAATAGTAATGAGAATGTCATAATAACAATGGCATTGACATTTGTATATCTCAAGGGCCATTCACACACAAACACACACAGTCTGAGAGAGCGAGACATGCACAATCACACATTCCCTCTGCACTCAACTCCACACACTGTGGTAATTGATCTAATTGAAAAACAAGTCAGTCGCCAGAGGGGATACAAACCTTCCTTATGCTTTCATTTCCCGACAAGCTGATGTATGCATGAACAAACACACAAACGTACAAACACACACACACACACACACACACACACACACAGCAGGGGAATACAGATAGTCAGGTGCAGCCCTCACACACAAGAAAATGTGTCTCGTTAAGGGAGAGTCTTGCTCTGGGGTAAATTATATCATTGGTTGCTAAGGATACAGGACACAGTGTGTGAGTAAGAGAGGGAAAGAGGGAGACAGAGTGAGTAGCAGACACGTGGAGGGAGATAGTAAGTGGGAGAGCGAGTGAGAGAAAGAGAGTGAGAGAAGGAGGGAGGTGGAGAATAATCAGTCTTGTTGAACTGGGTCTGGAGTAGGAGAGGTGATAGGGGAGGGGCCAGAGAGAGGAAGGCAAAAATAAATTAAATCTGACTGGCTGGTCAAAGGGGGCTGGGCCATCCTTTCCCTCTCAGCTTTCTCTACTGAGCCATTCCTTCCCTTCCCTTTGTTTGTCTACTGAGGGGAGAAACGCCACAGAGAACAGTGTGTATGACAGAGAGGGAGTGAGAGGGAAAGAGGGGGGAGAGGGAAGGACAAGAGAGGAATGAGGAGATGGAAGAATGGAATAGAGATACATACTTTCTTTTCAGACAATAACCCCTTTCATGTTCTCACGTGTCCTACCTGACAGTGGTTTCTCCTCCCTCTCGCCTGTGTGTGTGTGTGTGTGTGTGTGTGTGTGTGTGTGTGTGTGTATGGATTTGTGTGTGCCGGCTAGCAGAGGGAGTGGATGCCCGTTCTGTTTAACAGGACTTCAGGCTGAAGCTGAAGTGGGCAGCTGTCTCTCTCCCTGAGTGAGTGGCATCTTCACACCGAGACCACAGAGACGGTCTCCCCTCCTCCCTCTCTCTCTCACAGCACTCAGCAGCAAGGTAAGACTAGAATAATCCTTCACCTCTCACATATACACACACACACACACATACAATACACATTCACATACACATTCACATACACATTCACATTCACATACACATACACATTCACATTCACATACACATACACATTCACATACACATACACGGGCATGGGGTCACAGTAAGAGACAGATGTTTCCCTGGAGAGGGATATGCGTAAGTAAGGGATATGTGTTTCTCTGGTCACAGAGACACCGGTTACCGTGGAGATATAATGAGTGTTGAGGACAGTGAGTTCTCTGGTGACAAAGAGCGTTATGGATGGAGACACTGGTCTCCTTGGTGACAGAGACCAATGGAGGGCTGCAGTTCCGAAAACTGAAGGACATGTCGGCTCAGAGTGACTGACTAACTGACTGAGCTAGTAAAGATGAAATGTGGAGCCACCCCCTTCCTCCACCCTCTACTAACTCAGTACTCTAGCTATACAGTACATGTCTCCATATGAAATGTCCATTCCCATCGAATGTGCTACCTCTATGCGTCTCAATATCTCGTCTCCAAAGACTCAGTCAGCGAGCATATCGAGCGTAGGAGGAGCGCAGCGAAAGGAGCGAGAAGTAGCGCGAGAAGCAGCAAGAGCGAGAGACGACGAGAGAGGAGCGAGCGGCAGAGGAGAGAAACGAGGAGGCGAGAAGAGCGGCGGCGAGGAGGAGGCGCGCTAGAGGACAGAGCGAGAGCGGAGAACGGCGAGAGAGACCGCGCGAGACGAGAGCGAGACGAGCGACGCGCGCGAGAGCGCGCCCCGAGAGCGAAGAGCGCGAGGATGAGCGCGTAGAGGAGGCGGCGAGCGCGCGCTGAGAGCGACAGCGAGCGCGACGAGAGAGCGCGCGGAGAGGCCGCGGCGCGCGCGACGGCGCGAGCGAGAGACGCCGAGACGAGCGAGGAGCGAGCGAGTCGACGCGTCGACCGCTCTGACCAGACGCGCTAACACCTCAATACTCTCCTAACTCTCTCTACCCTTCTAGGTCTCTCGATCTACGGCCTCTCTCTCTAGCGAACGATCTACTTCTCTCTCTCTCTATCTACTTCTCTCTCTCTCTCTCTTAACTCTTCTCTCTCTCTAACCCTCTCTCTCTCTACCTCTCTCTCTACCTCTCTCTCTACCTCCTCTATATTATCTTATTCATTGTTCAGTGTCATCTTAGAGAGTATGCACAGTGCTGTATACCAGTATCTGTGTGAGAGCGGGTTAGTGTGTATACAGTGTTTGCTGTATTTTGACAGTTCTAGTGGATGAGTAAGCAAAAGTCTATGCTCTGCCTGTGGACACAGGGAGGATGTAAAAAGATTTCTCCCCTACACACTCTCACCCACAACCCCCTGAATTAGAGCGATTTCCTGTGTGCTGACATACTATAATCCATCTGCGATCTCCACAAACACACACACACACACACACACACAGACACATGTGTGCACACACACACATACACACACACACACACACACACACACACACACACACACACACACAGACAGGCGCCTGGAGGCAGACTCACTAGACATATGTAGACTCACTAGATCTGACATACATTATGGTGGGGCATGCAGGCCATGGAGCATAGATCTACAAGTGCTAGATTGGATATGTAACTTGGAAGAACCCTATAGAATCGAGAAATTAATGCATAGTTGCAACCCTCATAGACATAATTTGTCATCTCTCTGACGGTATATTTAATAACTACGTCTCATAGCATGAATTTTCTGGATTCTTGTGTATTCTCATTGGATGAGAGACATGTCTGTCCTCACATACACAGAGGATCACTTTCCCCTGTTTGAAAGAGCAATTGTCCATTCTTCGGAATGAAGTGCACAGAGGAGGGGGGAGGGGTGCGGCTGATTGAGTGGCCAGACAAGTGAAGGAGCAGTGAGGAGGAGGAGGGGGGAGGGGTGTGTGTTTCTGGCTGCTCTACACACTGAGCACAATGTGTGCTTGTACTCTGACTGGTCACAGGCCAGTCCCATGGGTCGGAATATTTGGGTTTGACTGAAAATAAAACGCTGTGTTTACCTCAATTTGACTTGATCCCAAACACACACACACACACGCACAGTCGCGCACACGCACACACACACACACACACACACAAACGCACACAACCAGACCCAGTGTGTGTAGAGCCTCTTTTATCCTTTGGTGATATCTTTCTCATTACTCACACGTCTAAATAAACCCCAGCCCTCTCTCCTACCCATACTCTACTGGCACCCAGGATCCTATGGATGGGCAGTGCTTAAAGGTTATTTATTCAGTTTATAGGAAAAGTAGGTAACTGAAACCATAACAGGCTAAACTGATGTTTTAGTTTAGCATCATAGTATCTCTATAGTAACATTTAGCAGAGAGAGAGAGAGATGAGGATTAAAAGAGAGAAAGGTTAGACTCATTCATAGGTAGGTCACACATGGCCACACACAGCTGGCTGGCCTAGTTTTCACCTGTCACTGCTTCCACTACTACCACACAGCTGAATGAACTGGAGCTGGTTTGCATTTAGGGCCTGGGAGAGATCATTTAGGGCCTGTAATGACCTGCAATGTACAGCTGTCCTTATGGAACATAAGAGAAACATTCTTGTCCGTATGTGTGTTTGCATTGTGCAGTAGTACACAGTAGTATTCTAAAATTATTCTAAACAGCCTAATGGGAAAGTCCTCTTTCACTGTCTACTTAAAGTACATTCATACACACACACACACACACACTCGCTCCATCTCTGTTGCCGTCACACACATCCATTATCCAGATCTACTGTATAAAAAGCAGATCAGCCCCCCTTCTCTCTCTCCGTCTCTGCTGTCTGCTGTCTTAATGTCCAGACTAGAATGGTTGGAGACTAGAGCAGACAGGCCTTTATCAATGGCTGGCCACAGGCTGCAGTTGCTGCAGGGAGCTGGTGATCAGAGAGGGGCTGGATGCAGGGTACAGCTCTGGCTGACTGGTGATAAACTGTGCTCACCACAAACAAACACGAGTGTTCCAGCAAGATTAGGAGGCAGACACACAGAGAGAGAGAAAGTGAAACAGAAAGAGGAGAGTGGTGTGTGTGTGTAGCTGCAGTGAATTGTATTTGTTGTCATTAAAGGAAAGCTCTGTCTTAGACCAGTACCTAAAGGTAATCTAGTGTAAGTGTGTGGGCAGTAGCAGTTGTAGTTGTCTGCTGGTGTAGGGAGTTGTAGTGCAGTGTTGGAGGTGCATTAACATGTACAGTGTAGAGAGTGTACAGAGACTGTGAACGTCAAGCAAGATGTGGTTGATTTTTTTGTGGTTTGGCAACTGAACACTAATCTTTCTCCATCTCTCTCTAGGTTGTGGTTCAGAGTTATTGAAGGAAAGACAGACAGGTGTTGTCGTGTAGCCCTCTCAGTTTTATAGTAGAGGGCTTCACAGACACAGACCAAGTGTGGTGAGTATTTCTACCTCTGTGTACAGTACTGTTTGTGTCCATGGCAACCATTTGCCTTCATGTAGACTACAGTTTGCTCATGTTCTATCCTAATCCAGTAAAAAGGTGTGTTTTGTCCTGTCTCAGGCTGAATGTATCACCCAGCAGAGCAGTATTCTGGGCGTAACACCATGGGACTCCTACCCTGCTGGAGGACCTCACAGAGGAACATGGGCCCCTGTCAACAGTCGCCCCTGGGGCCCTTCAAACAGGTGAGCCCTCTTCTTACACCACTGTCTACTGACACACTCATAACCCTTCTTCCTGTTGATGGAGTCTGTGCTGAGCCAATGGTAACCCTCCTTTATCTACTGTAGGTACAATGGCGGAATCAACCAATCCCAGCACCTAAACAAGATTTATAATGACAGGTAGTGAAACATCTCAATTGTTCAGAACTTACATTGAGTGGAGCGCACATCTGAAATGTTAGTCCACCAGTCACCCTTACTGTAGTGATCCCTTAGTGATCTCCACTTTCTCTCTGGAACATAGGGGGACCAGGCCATCCTTCCATTCCCAGGGAAGGGGCCCTCAGCAGAACCAGAGACCAGCAATACGACCCTGGGCCCAGAAAGACCAGGCTTATGAGACCCAGGGCTGGCACCAGGACTCCCCACGTTCATTTCAAAACCATGGCCGCAACCAGGGGGGCTACCAAAAAAGGACCGGGGGGGAAACCCCACACCATCGGGGATCCCACAAAAAACCCCCTCCCCGGGTTTTGGGGAGGAAAGGAAGAGAAGTTACATACACTATGCTGTAATAACTCTTTCTATTAAAAACAGTGTTAGGTTATGTCTTTTTTTTTGATTGCATGACTTTAATTATGAAATTATCTCTTCAGTTGGGGGGTCCCCCACCGCACCAAAGGCCCCCGAGATCCCCCCGGAGGGCCTGGGTCCCCAGCAAGGGTGGGGCCCCCTCAGAGCTCCAGGGGTTCCCCGGTAGGATGATAGACCCGGGACCAGGACATGGAAGCGCCCCCCCCACAAGCACCCACGTGGCCAAACCCCCCCCGCTCCCCCCCTCACAGCATCCCACCCCCCCAAAGGGAAAACGCCCTGCCCAAAAGGAGCGAACCCTTTGGCCCCGAGAGGGCAGTCACCCCCCAAAATAATACGTGTTTTTCCCCAGAAGGTAAGGTCCCCCACCCCAAATTAGTCCCGTATCAGGCTTTAGGGAAAATGTCTACAACCTGATCTAGGATCAGTTTCTTGCAGCCTTTTTCCTTGGGTGAATCCGACCCAGAACAGTATTTTGAAGCCACTTGGTGTTTGCTGGATATTTTTAAATAGCACCCCTTTGGTAGGGATAATACCCCCTCACCCGGATACTTTGTTATTATGTTCTCCCACAGCCTTCACCCTGGCCAAAGCCCTTTTTGGACCAGAAGCCCCAAACACCCCCCCCACTACCTCCCCCCCAAACAAGGTTGGAACCCAAAAATGACAGACCCGGTCCTCGCCCCCCCATGTGAGAGGGGGACCGCTCGAGTTTTCAAGTAATCAGAAAAGTAAATGTACTTAAGAAAACCGAGCTCTTAAGCTATCATTGATTAACAATCCTCCTCTTTTTATTTAGGAATCCACCAAGCAAGTTTTGGGCGTCTCAATACAGTACACATCATTCTACCCATTAAATAAAAGGAAGGAGGGGCCCCCCTTTTCCCCCGGGGGAAAAAAACCCCCCCCCAAGGGGTGTGTTTTCTGGTTGCTATAAACACTGAGCACAATGTGTGCTTGTACTCTGATTCAATGGTAACAGGGCCAGTCCATGGGTGAAATATTTGGGTTTGACTGAAAAATAAAACGCTGTGTTTACCTCAATTGACTTGATCCACCAAACACACCCCACACACCACGACACAGTCGACGCGGCACACACACAAAAACAAAACGCACACAACCAGACCCAGTGTGTGTAAGAGGCCTCTTTATCCTTGGTTGATATCTCTCATTACTTCACACGTCTAAATAAAACCCCAGCCATATCTCCGACCATACTTCTACTGGCAACCGGAGATCTAGGATGGGCAGTGATTACAGGTTTTGGATTTATTCAGTTTAGGAAAAGTGGTAACTGAGGGGGGGGGGGGTTTGGGGGGGGGGTAACCATAAAGGCCATAAAATGAGTTTTAGTTAGCATCATAGTAATCTCTATAGTAACATTTAGCAGAGATAGAGAGAGATGAGGATTAAAAGAGAGAAAGGTTAGACTCATTCATAGGTAGGTCACACATGGCCACACACAGCTGGCTGGCCTAGTTTTCACCTGTCACTGCTTCCACTACTACCACACAGCTGAATGAACTGGAGCTGGTTTGCATTTAGGGCCTGGGAGAGATCATTTAGGGCCTGTAATGACCTGCAATGTACAGCTGTCCTTATGGAAATAAGAGAAACATTCTTGTCCGTATGTGTGTTTGCATTGTGCAGTAGTACACAGTAGTATTCTAAAATTATTCTAAACAGCCTAATGGGAAAGTCCTCTTTCACTGTCTACTTAAAGTACATTCATACACACACACACACACACACACACACACACACACACTCGCTCCATCTCTGTTGCCGTCACACACATCCATTATCCAGATCTACTGTATAAATAGCGGATCAGCCCCCCTTCTCTCTCTCCGTCTCTGCTGTCTGCTGTCTTAATGTCCCAGACTAGAATGGTTGGAGACTAGAGCAGACAGGCCTTTATCAATGGCTGGCCACAGGCTGCAGTTGCTGCAGGGAGCTGGTGATCAGAGAGGGGCTGGATGCAGGGTGCAGCTCTGGCTGACTGGTGATAAACTGTGCTCACCACAAACAAACACAAGTGTTCCAGCAAGATTAGGAGGCAGACACACAGAGAGAGAAAGTGAAACAGAAAGAGGAGAGTGGTGTGTGTGTAGCTGCAGTGAATTGTATTTGTTGTCATTAAAGGAAAGCTCTGTCTTAGACCAGTACCTAAAGGTAATCTAGTGTAAGTGTGTGGGCAGTAGCAGTTGTAGTTGTCTGCTGGTGTAGGGAGTTGTAGTGCAGTTTGGAGGTGCATTAACATGTACAGTGTAGAGAGTGTACAGAGACTGTGAACGTCAAGCAAGATGTGGTTGATTTTTTTGTGGTTTGGCAACTGAACACTAATCTTTCTCCATCTCTCTCTAGGTTGTGGTTCAGAGTTATTGAAGGAAAGACAGGACAGGTGTTGTCGTGTAGCCCTCTCAGTTTTATAGTAGAGGGCTTCACAGACACAGACCAAGTGTGGTGAGTATTTCTACCTCTGTGTACAGTACTGTTTGTATCCATGGCAACCATTTGCCTTCATGTAGACTACAGTTTGCTCATGTTCTATCCTAATCCAGTAAAAAGGTGTGTTTTTGTCCTGTCTCAGGCTGAATGTATCACCCAGCAGAGCAGTATTCTGGGCGTAACACCAGGGACTCCTACCCTGCTGGAGGACCTCACAGAGGAACATGGGCCCCTGTCAACAGTCGCCCCTGGGGCCCTTCAAACAGGTGAGCCCTCTTCTTACACCACTGTCTACTGACACACTCTTAACCCTTCTTCTGTTATGGAGTCTGTGCTGAGCCAATGGTAACCCTCCTTTATCTACTGTAGGTACAATGGCGGAATCAACCAATCCCAGCACCTAAACAAGATTTATAATGACAGGTGAGTGAAACATCTCAATTGTTCAGAACTTACATTGAGTGGAGCGCACATCTGAAATGTTAGTCCACCGTCACCTTACTGTAGTGATCCCTTAGTGATCTCCACTTTCTCTCTGGAACATAGGGGGGCCAGGCCATCCTTCCATTCCCAGGGAAGGGGCCCTCAGCAGAAACCAGAGACCAGCAATACGACCCTGGGCCCAGAAAGACCAGGCTTATGAGACCCAGGGCTGGCACCAGGACTCCCCACGTTCATTTCAAAAACAATGGCCGCAACCAGGGGGGCTACCAAACAGGACCGGGGGAACCCTACACCATCTGGGACTCCTACAACAACCAGCCTCCCAGGGTGAGAGAGGAAGAGAGCAGCCTATCGACAGTACATACTCTATGCTGTACATAACTCATTATCTATTACATACAGTAGTTAGGTTTATGTCTTTTTTTATTGATTGCATGACTTTAATTATGATAATTATCTCTCTCAGTATGGGGGTCCCCACCAGCACCAACGGCCCAGAGATCCCCCCGGAGACCTGGGCTCCCCAGCAGAGAGGTGGGCCGCCTCAGACCGCTCCAGGGCCTTCCCAGGTAGGATGATAGACCAGGGACCAGGACCATGGAAGCGCCCACCCCCCCACAAGCACCACCGTGGCCAACCTCCACACCGCTCCCCACCCTCACAGCCACTCCCCACCCCCCAAGGAAGACTGCCCTGCCAAGAGGAGCAGAACCTCTGGCCCTGAGCAGGTCAGTCACCACCAAAGCTAATGATCGTGTTTGCCAGAAGTGTAAGGTCCCCCCACCACAGTTAGTCCTGCTATCAGTGCTTGAGGAAGATGTCTACTAACCTGATCTAGGATCAGATTTCTCTACTGCTAGCCTTTACCATTAGGGTGATATCCGATCCTAGAACAGTCATCTGAAGCCACTCTGAGTGTAGCTGTGATATTTATACAATAGCACCACCTTCTGGTAGGGATCAATACACCTCACCAGGATACTTACTGTTTATTACTGTTCTCTCTCACCAGCCCTCTCACCGTGGCTCAAAGCATTTATCTGGACCAGACCAGCCCCAATCACCACCCCACTACCTCCCTCCCAAACAAGGCTTCTGGAACCAATCATATGACAGACCTGCGTCCTCGCACCCATGCTGAGAGGAGGACCTCGTCTACAGAGTTACAAGTAAGTCAGTTAATAGTAAATGTACTTCAAGAGAACAGAGCTCTTAAGACTACTCATTGATTAACAATCCTCTCTCTCTTATTATTTCAGGAATCCACCAAGTCAAGATTAGGGCGTCTCAACTACAGTACACATCATTCTACCCATACTCCAGTTCCCCAGGTCCCCTTCAATGGTCAAGGCCCCCCTCCTTCCTCCTATCCCCGCCATCCTCCTCCATCCCATCCCTGTGGCGGCAGCAGACCCCCCCACCATGGATCCAGAGTGGAGGTGGATGGCCAGTCCCAGCCCCCCTCCTCACCAGCAGACCACACCGGCGTGCCTTACAGTCAGCACCACCAGCGTCCCCCCATCACCCTCCTCAGTACCTCAGCACAACCCCCCAGCCCCACGCTCCCAACAGACAGCAGAGGGATCAGACCCCCTCCCAGCTCTCTGCTACAGAGCCTCCCCACCGCAACAGCAGCCACAGAGATGGAGGCTCCACAGCCCCGAGCTCCTCCAGCCCCTCTGGCCTCTCCAGCTCCACCACTCCTAGTAAGGCCAGTGGGAAGAAATACCCTCCACCTAATCAGAGGAATCCTGACACTGGCTCTGGCACACCCCGTAAAACGGGGACCAAGGACCCCCTCACCTAGTCCCACACCTCCCCCTCTCTCTGCCTCCCGCACAGGGCTAGGCTCAGAGCCCAGACCCCACCCAGCTCTCCCCAGGACAGGCCTATTGTCAACAACCAACATACCTACTATCAAACAACAACAGACCTACTGTCAACAACAAACAGACATACTACCAACAAGCCAGGGCTGCAGCCTCATGGACACAAACGGACAGAGAGGAACCATAAGGATAAGAAAGGAGAGCAGAGAGAGGCGAGGTGGGAAAGAGGGAACCAACGAGGGAGAGGAAGATGGAGGAGAGGAAAAGGAGAAAGGAGAAAGAGAGAAAAGGGGGGATGGGGTGAAGAATTAAAACCCCATAAAGGAGAAGAGGTGAGAGACAAGGTGGAGAGAAAAAATAAGAAAGAGGAAGAGAGGAAGACTGAGAAAAGGGAGGAGAGCCTTAGGGCTAAAAAGCTGGTAAAAGCAGAGATGGGATGCTCAAAGTCCCTCACTCCATCAGTACGGCCTTCCTCCCCTAAGACTCAGTCTGGATCTAGGGTTCCAGGGAAGCCAGGGCAACCCTCCCAGACACCATCCACCCCTGGCAAACACAGACACAGGGAGAAGGGCCAAGGAAGAGGTGGAACGTCCTATGACCACAGCTCTCCAAATACCTCAATCCCACCTGCTGGCCCGCCTGCCGCCCGTCCTTGCCAACCCTCACCGTCACCACATCCATCCAAACACAAAAGTCAGAGAGGGGAGGGACCCTGAACAAGTCAAACCCAGCTCAACCCAAACCCCCGTCAAGGGCACACCACTGCTAGCCTGTCCCCCACCCACCACCACCAATAACAACAACATCAGCAAGACCAGTAAGACCAGTCACCAGCCCACCAGCCCTTCTAAACGCAGCACAGAGAGGAAGGCTGATTCTACCACCTCCACGCTCTCATCCAAAACCGCAGCAGCTCCCACTGTGGCTGGGTCAGGGGGGTCCATCCCAAGCCAGCAGAGCCAGACTGAGACAAGGGGTGTATGTCCAGAAGGGGGGGTCCTGCGGGCCCCAGATCTCCAGCCTGCGGCAGGGGTGGGCAGTGTGGAGGAGCTGGGGAGACAACCCCCCCGCCAGCCCCCCTGTACTCAGCTGGCAAGGCTCCCCGGCATCAGCCCTGAGTGAGGAAGAAGAGGAGGAAGAGCAGGGAGGAGTGATGAGGAGACCTGTCCTGCAGCCCAGCCCCACCCACAGCCCGTCCCTCTCACCCCCCCATGGGAACTCAGAGGGACTCAATGAGAAGGCGGAGGGCGTCAGTGAGGGGAGGGGTGCTGATGAGCTTCGCCATAGCGACCTGGCCAAGCTCTATGGCCTGCCTGATACTCCCAATGGAGTGGAGGAAGAGGAGGATGAGGAAGAGGAGGACAGTAGTGGGGACACGTCGTCCAGCTCTCTTCTTCCGCGTCGGCCACACCTCCACCAGACAGGAGTGGCTGATGTCTTCAAGTCTTTGGCATCGTTCCTAGGGGGCCAGAGGTACACATATCGGGGCGGCCCGTTTGGGCGTCCTCCTCCTAGCTCCATGGGAGGAGTGAAGTACTCCTCATCCCTCGCCATGGATCCAGAAACCAACTGTCAGGACCAGCAGTGTCCCTCCCCAACATCAGACTCCACCACGCCCCCAAGACTCACTACCCAATCATCCACTCACACTACCTCAGATCCGCCTTCCAAACCCCGCCCTCCCGTAGACCTCAACCAACCACAGCTCTCCGTGGGGGAGCGCACTAAACAGAAGCATGCGCGATTGGAGGAGATTCAGAATGAGAGAAAGAAGGAGAGAACTAAATGTGTAGACAGTGGGGAGACAGCCGGGTCTCTGAGCGCTGAGCTGAGATTGACCACCACACACCGGCTCCCTGCCACCACCAAGGAGGAGCGGGGGCAGAGGGAGGTACGCAGGCAGACAGGCAGGAAGAGGCTACAAAGCGGTGCAGATGGAAACAGGGAAGGAGAAGGGAAGAGGAAGAGAAGAAAACAATATAACAGCGTCAGTAATCATCAGAGTGGAGGCAATGAAAAGAAAAAGATGGAAGAAAAGAGTGAAAGAAAATCAGCCTCCTCCATTACGTTGTCCTCATCTACACCTCACCCCAGTAGCCCGGTCAAGCTGTTCAAAGACACTAAGAAGAGCCGTCAGATTCAGGGGAATCTTGGCCTCCAGAGCAAAGACATCCAGGGACAGAAAGACAAGGCACACACAGGAAACACTGAGCAGGGGGCACAATCAACAGAGAGGAAGGAGGAGAGGGGCAGTGAGCCTGAAACCATTACGTCCACACCAGGCAGCAACACAGACACAGTGGCAACAGCAACTACCACCAGCACCTTCAACACCTCCTCCACTGTTACCACCTCCCCTACCCCCACCCCGGCCCCCTCTGCTGCCCCTGTGAGGAGGAACCCCTGTCCCCTGGCTGCTGCTGACTTCCTGAAGCTGAAGGCCCTGTCCATGGGCCCTCCCAAGGAACTGAAGATCCGTCTGATCAAGGTGGAGAGTGGAGACAGAGAGACGTTCATCGCCTCCGAGGTCGAGGAATGCAGGATCCCCCTAGGAGAGGTCAGCATCAGACACACAGCCAGCGAGGTCATCAGGGCCTGCAAGTGAGTATACAGTACATGTGATGTACATTTACTAGACATCAATACACAAAGAAAAGTGTATTAAATGAAATCTTATTGAATTCTAGCTCTTCATCTGTCTTTTCCTTTGTCTGTTTCAGGGGGGCAAAGGTGAAGGGGAAGTTTCGGGAGTCCTATCTGCTCCCTGCTTTCTCTGTCAAGCCTGTTCTCAGCACCAACCCACCCATCCCGCGAGAGAAGCTCAATCCCCCCACACCAAGCATCTATGTGAGTCCACACTCCAGAGGCGCTGCACTGCAGTTGACCCTATGCTTCAAGCTGTCTGTGGGTGTGTATGTCTTGGGAGGGGGGGGGATAAAGCAACTACAACAAAAAAGATACATCTCTGTCCTATGACAACAGACGACAAAGTCTTCTTCCTCTTTTTCTTCCTGTTTTCTTCATTCTCACATATCAGTTCTGTATTTGTGCAATGCCTTGCTGATTTTTTTCCGGTGTTGTCCTGTGTGTCTGTGTCCAGTTGGAGAGTAAGAGAGATGCCTTCTCCCCAGTCCTCCTCCAGTTCTGTACTGATCCCAAGAACCCTGTCACTGTCATCAGAGGCCTGGCTGGATCCCTCAGGCTCAGTGAGTTTCCGTATTTCGATTTTCTCAGGGCTAAAACTTAAAAGGAAATTCCTCCACTTTTCAATCCCATATTCATATTCTCCGGCACAATACCAGTATCTACAGTGAGGGGAAAAATTTGATCCCCTGCTTATTTTGTTCGTTTGCCCACTGACAAAGAAATGATCAGTATATAATTTTAATGGTAGGTTTATTTGAACAGTGAGAGACAGAATAACAACAAAAAAATCCAGAAAAACGCATGTCAAAAATGTTATAAATTGATTTGCATTTTAATAAGGGAAATAAGTATTTGACCCCCTCTCAATCAGAAATATTTCTGGCTCCCAGGTGTCTTTTATACAGGTAACGAGCTGAGATTAGGAGCACACTCTTAAAGGGAGTGCTCCTAATCTCAGCTTGTTACCTGTATAAAAGACACCTGTCCACAGAAGCAATCAATCAATCAGATTCCAAACTCTCCACCATGGCCAAGACCAAAGAGCTCTCCAAGGATGTCAGGGACAAGCTTGTAGAACTACACAAGGCTGGAATGGGCTACAAGACCATCGCCAAGCAGCTTGGTGAGAAGGTGACAACAGTTGGTGCGATTATTCGCAAATGGAAGAAACACAAAATAACTGTAAATCACCCTCGGCCTGGGGCTCCATGCAAGATCTCACCTCGTGGAGTTGCAATGATCATGAGAACGGTGAGGAATCAGCCCAGAACATAAGAAGAAAGTTCCTAAAAAACATTTATTTGTGACATCACAGGGTAGGAATAAAAGTAAGAAAATCTATGATCACTGTTTTTAAAATATTTTAACTTTTGATGATGTCATCGGGTAGAACTTTGTACCTTTATATTTGTTTCTACAAAACATTCAAATGTGCGTTTTCACATATGTAAACACTGGTATTGTGCTGTAGATAATGAAAATTAGGTTAAAGTGGTGGAGTTGCCCTTTAAAACAGCAACATTATTTCTAATTTACTCACTATACCTCTCTCACTCCTTTCTCCTCTCTCTCCCTTTCTGCCAGACCTGGGTTTGTTCTCCACTAAGTCTCTGGTGGAGGCCAATGCAGAGCATGCTGTGGAGGTGAGGACCCAGGTGCAGCAGCCTGCTGATGAGAACTGGGACGCCACTGGTTCAGCCCAGACCTGGCCCTGCGAGAGCAGCCGCTCACACACCACCATCGCCAAGTACGCCCAGTACCAGGCCTCCAGCTTCCAGGAGAGCCTCCAGGTAGGGGAAGAAACACACACACATACACGTTTCCCCCCACTTCCTCTCTTTGCCCAGCTAAGTTCATTATGTACTTATATGTGTCTACAGGAAGAGAAGGACAGTGAGGATGAGGATGAGGAAGAAGAGAATGAGACTTCATCCTCTGACCCATCAACCACCCCTGCATCTGGCACCAGCAAAACCAGCCCTACTACGGTCGCCAGCAAAGCCAACCCTACTGTGGTTGCTAGCAAAGTCGGCCCTACCCCTATTGCTAACACACTCAGGTCAGAACATCCACATCATACAGTGCAGTCAACTCCTTAATAAACCAAATACAATACATTTAATCAAAACAATATTCTGACGTTATTAAAGATGTTTTAATAAAGTACACTTCCCCTTTCCCATAGGCCAGAGGCAAAATCAACTGGAAAGATCATCAAATTCGGCACCAACATCGACCTCTCTGATCCTAAGAGGTGAGATAGCTTTACATGTGGTAGATTGTTTAAAAGCTCTAAGGCAGGGGTGTCAAACTCATTTTAGCTCAGGGGCCACATTGAGGAAAATCTATTCCCAAGTGGGCCGGACCGGTAAAATCATGGTATATATAACTTAAAAACAACAACTTCAGATTGTTTTCTTTGTTTTAATACTATCAACATAAAACATAAAGCTGGAGCCTGAGGACAGTGTGTCCAAAATAGTACAAGCACAACTATTATCACTATTAATCATAAAACACCTCAAGTTTATTTGAAAATTCTACAGAAAAAAAACACACAAACACACAATGCCTCAGTGATTCACAGAACTGTTTCACAGATCACAGAACTATATCAGGGTGTCATTTCTCAGGCAGAAATGTAGATACAAATAATGAAATCCTGTTCCCCAAACAAGTGCAAGAACCACAGAGTCAAGAATAGGTTAAATATACAAATAAATAAAAATCTATTAAAAACAATAGCACATCAACATAAAAACATATAAACATAAAGCTGGAGCCTGAGGACAGTGTGTCCAAAAGCACAACATCACTATTAATCATAAAACACCTCAAGTTATTTGAAATTCTGAGGACAAACAACACACAAACACACAATGCCTCAGTGATTCACAGAAGTATATCACAGATCACAGAACTATATCAGGGTGTCTCATGCAGCACTTTAAGTGGGGTTGCATAGTTTATTTGACTCCTGATACCTGGCATCTTTTAGCTTTCACCATCGCATCAATATCAGGCGTCACATCCTGAGTGGCAGCCAACTTCAGGATGTGATTCAAGTGCTTGTGCGTGAGCCTTGAGCGCAGCTTTGTTTTATTTATGCTCATTACAGAGAACTTGCTCACAAAGATATGTGGTTCCAAACATGCACAACAGTTTTGCAGCGAGGGCTGTCAAGTTGGGGTAACCTGGCAAGAGATTCTGATAAAATGTGTCCAAGCCAGCTGCGGCAAATTTGCCCTTCAAATCCGAGTCACACTGCAAGTATATTATTTCAAGTTTGATGCTGACGGGCAGATAAGAGGGATTCACGGTTAATGGCGAACAAAAAACGTTGAAGTCTTTCTCCAGTTCACCAAAAATCTGAAAGCGTTGCTCAAACTCCCTTAACAGTCCCGTTATTTTATCTTTGAACAGCTTCATGTCTGCCACATGTTGGGTCGCGCACACATTTTTCAGACAGGGGAAGTGAGCTGCATCACCACCGGCGAGTTGCGTCTCCCACAATGACAGCTTCAACTTGAAAGAACGTATGCTGTCATAATACTGCGTGGCAACTTTGTTGCACCCTTGCAGCTGTTTGTTCAAGTTATTCAGGTGCTCTGTAACATCCACCATAAATGCAAGGTCCTGCATCCATTCTGCGGAATGAAATTCTAACACTGGTTTGCCCTTTTCTTCCATGAACTGTTCAATTTCTTCTCATAAATCAAAGAAACGCCTCAGCACAGCACCTCGGCTTAACCATCTTACCTCAGTGTGGTATGGCAGGCCATAGATGTGGTCTTTCTCTCTGAGAAGGCTGTCAAACTGACGTTGATTCAGGCTTCTGGATCGGATGAAATTAACAGTTTGGATGACCACCTTCATGACGTTATCCATCTTTAATGACTTGCAACACAAAGCCTCCTGGTGCAAAATACAGTGAAAAGTCCAAAAATCACGTCCTCCATTTGCAGATTGCACTTTCTCTCTGAACTTTGTCACAACGCCTGCTTTTTTCCCGATCATTGAGGGCGCACCATCTGTAGCCAGGCTGACAGCGCAGGACCAGTCCACTCCGACCCTGTCCAGCGCGCTGACGAGTGCAGTGAAAATATCAGCTGCTGTCGTTGTATCTGTCATCGGCACCAACTCCACGAACTCCTCGGTGACGGTCAATGTGTCATCAACTCTGCGGATGAAAATGGCCAGTTGTGCAACATCTGTAATGTCCGTGCTTTCATCAATTGCAACCGAAAACGCAATAAATTACTTTACTTTTTGCTTCAACTGGCTGTCCAAATCCACTGAAAGATCGGAAATCCTTCTTGTCAGGCTGATATTTGCAAAAGCCTAGTGCTTTTCAGGGCACACAATCTCCGCTGCCTTCATCATGCATGTTTTTACAAATTCACCCTCACTAAATGGTTTTGAAGCCACTGCGATTTCATTAGCAATGAGGTAGCTAGCTTTCCCTGCAGCGCCACTGATGTCTCAGCTGTGAGTAAACACAGACTGCTGTTTCTTCAGACCCGCCAACAGTTCATTCACCGTCTCTCTTCTCCGCTGTCCTTGAAAGTTGTCATATTTGTCGGCATGAAGACTCACATAGTGGCGACGAAGGTTATATTCTTTCAGCACTGCAACATGCTGTGAACACACCAAACATACAGCTTCCCCATTCAATTCCGTGAATAAATAGAAGGATGACAATTTTTCTTGGAACACTCTGCACTCTGCGTCCACTTTTCTCTTTTTTGACAGAGACATATTGGGGCAATGAGGGTGCCAAAGCACATAATGTTAAAAGTAGAAGCCGTAATAAATATCGCGGGCAAAACAAAGTAGCTCATCCGGACTGGCTGCACTTGCTTGACCTATTTGCTCTGCCCCGGTATAAACAGTTTGCTTGCTTAACACAATTGCTATTGCGCCATCCAGTGGACACAATTGGAACAGCAGTTTCTTTTATTGAAAAATTGCAGCTCATTTTTATACTTTACAAAATCATCTCGCGGGCCGGATTAAACCCGTTTGCGGGCCTGATTCGGCCCGCGGGCCGGACGTTTGACACCCCTGCTCTAAGGACACTGTTGGAGAGGAGGTAGAGTGTTAATGTGTGTTTGTTACCAGGTGGAAGCCCCAGCTGCAGGAGCTGCTAAAGTTGCCAGCCTTCATGCGTGTGGAGTTCAATGGGAACATGCTGAGCCACGTAGGACACACCATCCTGGGCATGAACACCGTCCAGCTCTACATGAAGGTCCCCGGCAGTCGCACGCCTGGTCAGTGTTCTATGGGTGTGTTTTTATATGTATATTGCATGTATCTGTACATGGGCTTAAATATCTCTGTGTATGTCTGTTTTCAGGCCACCAGGAGAATAATAACTTCTGCTCTGTGAACATCAACATTGGGCCGGGTGATTGTGAGTGGTTTGCAGTCCATGAACACTACTGGGAGCACATCAACAACTTCTGTGAGAAGTGAGTCATGAGACGGTTTTCATGTGAGGGCCTTGCATTTAGTTAAGCATTTGAGCATTTCTGCTCATTGAAAGGTATAACAACAGTGACCCACAGGGGATTTGAACCAGAAACTAGCCACTTAGATGCCATCTCTCCTCCCTCCTTCAGGCATGGAGTAGACTACCTGACGGGGTCCTGGTGGCCTGTTCTGGAGGATCTTTACCGCTCCAACATCCCAGTGTACCGCTTCATCCAGAGACCAGGGGACCTGGTGTGGATCAACGCAGGGTCCATCCACTGGGTGCAGGCTGTGGGCTGGTGCAACAACATAGCCTGGAACGTTGGACCTCTCAACTGTGAGTTACTAACAGTGTCCAACAGGGGAAGCCATAGATAGGAAAGGGGAGCTGGGTCATACACATTGCAGAACAGCAGAGAAGAGTGTAGCTTGTAGTTGGCTGTACACTATTCTGTACCTCAATCAAATTATACTGAACAGAAATATAAAAGCAACATGCAACAACTTCAACAATTTGACTGCGTTACAGTTCATATAAGAAAATCAGTCAATTGAAATAAATAAATGAAGCCCTAATCTACTGTATGGATTTCACATGACTGGGCAGGGGCGCAGTTAATCAGAATGAGTTTTTCCCCACAAGGGGCTTTATTACAGACAGAAATATTCCTCAGTTTCAACAGCTGTCCGGGTGGCTGGTCTCAGACGATCCCACAGATGAAGAAGCCGGACGTAGAGGTCCTTGGCTGGCATGGTTACACGTGGTCTGCGGTTGTGAGGCCGGTTGGACATACTGCCAAATTCTTTAAAGAGACGTTGGAGGTGGCTTATGGTAGAGAAATTAAAATTAAATGATCTGGCAACAGCTCCGGTGGACATTCCTGCAGTCAGCATGCCAATTGCATGCTCCCTCAAAACTTGAGACGTCTGTGGCATTGTGTTGTGTGACAAAACTGCACATTTTAGAGTGGCCTTTTATTGTCCTCAGCACAAGGAGCACCTGTGTAATGATCATGCTGTTTAATCAGCTTCTTAATATGCCACACCTGTCAGATGGATGGATTATCTTGGCAAAGGAGAAATGCTCACTAACAGGGATGTAAACAAATTTGTGCACAAAATGTGAGTGAAATAAGCTTTTTGTGTGTATGGAACATTTCTGGGATCTTTTATTTCAGCTCATGAAACATGGGACCAACACTTTACATGTTGCGTTTATATTTTTGTTCAGTATACTATTAAAATTCCTTTCCAAATGTACTCTATAGAGTCTGAACACTGGTATTATTTGGCCTTAACACTGCTAATGTGAGCCTTTCTACTCTTAAATATGTGTGTGTCGTCTTTGCCCTTTCAGCATACCAGTATCAGTTGGCTCTGGAGCGCTTTGAGTGGAACGAGGTGAAGAAGGTCAAGTCCATCGTTCCCATGATCCATGTCTCCTGGAACGTAGCCCGCACTATCAAGATCACAGACCAAGAAACCTACAAGATGGTCAAGTGTGTGTGTGTGTGTGGACGTGTTTAACTATACTTGTGGGGACCAGAAGTCCCCACAAGAATAGTAAACAAACAAACATTTTACAAACTGGGGACATTTTGTTAGTCCCCATAAGGTAAAATGCTATTTCTAGGGGGTTTAGGGTTAAGGTTAGAATTGGGGTTAGGGTTAGGAGCTAGGGTTAGTTTTAAGGTTAAGGTAATGTTTTGCGGTAAGGGTTAGACTTAGGGTTAGGGAAAATAGGATTTTGAATGGGACTGAATTGGTTAGTTATACAAGACTGTGTGTGCGCCTCGTCACCTATCTAGTATGCATGTTTATTTCTTGCTACACCTTATCTCTCTCTCCTCTCTCTCCTCTCCTCTCCTCTCCTCTCCTCTCCTCTCCTCTCCTCTCTCAGGCATTGTCTCCTGCAGTCCATTAAGCACATCCAGATTCAGAGAGACCGGCTGGTTGCTGCAGGGAAGAAGATCTCTTATCAGAGCCGTGTGAAGGACGAACCAGCCTACTACTGCAATGAGTGTGACGTAAGTCCCTCCCAACAGCCTGTGGATATATGCCTGAATCAGACCTGCTATGAACTACCATGACCCAAGTATTTTACCAACAGAGTGTTGGTGTATGGCTTTGGTTATTTTCTACAGTGATTGATTGTGCTGTGTCTGTGTGCAGGTGGAGGTGTTTGATCTGCTGTTTGTGACCAGTGAGTCTGGCAATAGGAAGACCTATATGGTGCACTGTGAGGACTGTGCCGGGAATGTCTCCAAGAGCCCCTCACTGGCAGGAGTTGTGGTGCTGGAGCAGTACCGCATGGAGGAGCTGATGAGAACCTACGACAGCCTCTGTGTGGTGAGAGAAACACACACACACAGTTTCTGTGTGCTGTGAGGTTATGTCCACCTTATTTACCCCCCTTTCTGTCTCTTTCATTCTCTTCCTCTTTCTCTCTCCAGACTCCATCACCCTGTTCCAAGTGAGGCCTCCTCCCTGTTGTCCAACAGCCATAACCAAAACTCCTACACAGTGGCGGCACAGACGTTGTCTTCAAGGAATACTACTATTGCGAACACTTGGTGAACAGCCAACCATGTTTACTCAGTATTGTTTACATCACAATAAGATATCGTCCGTCAGCCAATTGAATTCCAGCTCACTGTCTTCCCCTCCTACCAGCTGCTGATTGGACTTGGGTCTTGAGATAGAATGACTAGACTGGTACTACTACTCATTAGAAACATGTCAGACAACTACAGAAAATGTGAACAAAGTTAGCACTGGAAATCAGGTCTTATTTAAAACGGACACTGCTGTGATTCAAAAGCGTCAAGTAGCCGGTATATGGTGCATTAATTCAGGTACTTTTATGCAAATCCAATGGAACTTTTTTACACCAATCTAGTTATTCTATGTCCATGAATTTACTGTGTTGCGACACTAACAGCAGGGGAATCGCTTCACTAGCAAAGTAGCCAATAGTCTCAATGAAATTACATTGTTTTGGTTTTGTTTTCTATTCAGGTGAACTCTGACATTTGTAATTCTGTCTGTATACTCTTTGGGGTGCTATTTCCATTTCAGTTATTCTGACCTAGATATTTCAAAAGTTTTACCAGCCTAGAAGTACACCTCATTGGCCTTGTGAACTGTATTTAGATGATAGGAAATGAGAAAATGCAAACATGCAGATAAGGTTTTGGAAAGCATTAGGAATATTCATTTAAGAAGTTGTAAACATTTCTCTGAAATACGGGTTTACTAGAGGACTAATCTGGTTTCACTCTTTGTTGGAAATCTAGTCTGTTTTATTGTGATTTTAGTTTTTGCATAATAATCCTAAATAATGTTTGGTAGAGAGAGATGTGGTTGCTACAATATGCCCTAAAGAACATCCCCTTCCTTTTTCTTGTTATAAATGGTATCGTTCTCCCTGTTTTTATACCTCTGTTTTGGTTGATATCTCCTCCTTTTCTGGATTACAGAGAAACTGAAGAATTGTAAATTGTGACTTTATTTATACTTGTATATGTTTTTTTTTCTTAAATGTATTTATTGCATATTGATGGTGCTTCTCTGGGGACACCAGCTATTTTTAAAGTTTCCTATTGTGTGTGGACAGCGAAGGGCAAACGGGGAGGTTGGATTTTAATGGTGCTCAACCTCCTCTTGCCTCACCACCCCCTCACTAACTGTGTATAAAATCTATGAATATAAGTAAATGAATATAACTGAAACCGAGAGGTTGGTGCTTAGAACCGCGTCATTATGCTTACCGGTAAATGAATAGAATGATGTCTTTGTACTGTATCTAACTGATAAAAACAATACCTTTTTCAACTTTTTTGCATTGTATGAAATTCATAAAATTGTGACGCATTTGTGATTTTATGATGAACATTATAAGTATTTGTAGTTTTAGCCACATTTGAAAGATACTTTTAGGGATGTGTAGTGAGGTGTGGGTCTGGGTTCCTTCAGTGTGCTGTCCTCATGAGTATCATTTCAAGGTTGTAATCTTGCTCCTCTCCTCTGACTGTTTATTTAAGCTGCACTGTTTTAAAATAAAAAAATAACTCCTATTGAAGAGGGCCTGAGCCAGACCTGTCTTAAACATTCTGTGATTTTTCTGTGACATTATTGTGAGTATTATTGATAAAATAAAATAAAATGTTTTGAGAAATTCTTTGAGAAATGTTTGTCATTGAATTGGTTTACCGGTCTTGATAAGAAGCCTTGATAGTTTCACAGAGTAAGGTCTGATTTGGGTTTGAGCTGATAGAGTATCTTCAAGAAACATTTCTATGGAGGGATATTTATTTCATCCCTGTGATCTACCCACACTTAATCTCTGCTGATGGTAATGCCTAGCAGCATCCACCCATAATTTCTTCTGTCATATCAATACCCACTTCCTGCACTTTGCCTGCTTTAATACAGTACATCAACCAGAATCTCCTTCATTACACACGTGTTAGTGTTTGGATTACTGGTGACATTAGTGACTTGAATGGGTCTACTCCCAGTTACTAAGGAAGAAATAGAATGCCTCAAATATTGTTCATGATTTATCACTGTTTTGCCAATGTCCATTTTTTCCTTTGTTGGGGACATGGAAATAGAAAACCTTTAGTTTGAAGAGGATGCAGGGACAACTCATCCTAGACCTACGGATAGAGCAGCGGATATCCTGGTTCCTAAGACAGGAAGACTGGCCTTCCTCTAGCAACCCTATACCTCTCAACATACACAAAAGGCTGTATTATCACCTCTCTTTCATCTTCTCAGCCCCCTCCTTTATTCAATCGCTCCCTCTCACTCCAGATTCAACTCCTATCTGCCCACTGAAGAAATAAACAAACTTTCCCAGACTGCGATGACAAAAACTGGAAAAACATCCAATACTAATTTTCACTCTTTGAACTAAACCCCCACTGGTCTCTTATCAGTCTGGTGATCCTCTCCTTCTCCTGCCACATCACTCCATTCTACCCCAGCCACATTTCCTATTTGTTTTCTGAACCTGGTGTTCTGTTTTTCATCAAGGGGGCAAGTGCCAGACCCCTTTCCTTCTTGACCTTTAACACAACGTTAAAACAACTATGTCTTGTATGACCCAGGCAGCCACTGTGCCTACCTACCTTCTACACAGTTAATTTGTTCAGTTCTGTGTTCTGTCTTGGGGTCTGTATACTATAGTGCTTTTAGAAGCTGTGTCTTATCTTTGTGCAGTCAGTGAGTTCCCTCCCCCATCATCTATATCTCACTCAATAGCAGATAGGAATGTATGGATCTGTCTTACGTAAGAAACCAGCAAAAGTGTATGCATGTTCTGAACATGTATAGCAAATGTCAAATAGACATGTACTGTATCGCATTATCTTGCAATGGAGACCATTTACAAAACTTTAACAGTTTATTCCATCTTATCACCATCTCACTAAATTACAAATTATTTATTTAAATGCTTAAATGTACTTCTTTCAGAAAGTTCCACTCTACTGTTTGTTCTCTTGTGTTTAGGATTTTATTATCCACACATTTTCAATATTAGAATGCAGAAGTTAGTGGTTGTAGTAACTGCTGCAGAAGGTATTGGTTAGTGGTTGTAGTGACTTCAGCATAGGTTAGTGGTTGTAGTGACTTCAGCAGAAGGTAGTGGTTAGTGGTTGTAGTGACTTCAGCAGAAGGTAGTGGTTAGTGGTTGTAGTGGTTAGGGGTTGTAGTGACTTCAGCAGAAGGTAGTGGTTAGTGGTTGTAGTGACTTCAGCAGAAGGTAGTGGTTAGTGGTTGTAGTGACTTCAGCAGAATGTAGTGGTTAGTGGTTGTAGTGACTTCAGCAGAGGTTAGTGGTTGTAGTGGACTTCAGCAGAAGGTAGTGGTTGTGGTTGTAGTGACTTTCAGCAGAAGGTAGTGGTTAGTGGTTGTAGGGACTTCAGCAGAAGGTAGTGGTTAGGGGTTGTAGTAACTGCAGCAGAAGGTAGTGGTTAGTGGTTGTAGGGACTTCAGCAAAGGTAGTGGTTAGTGGTTGTAGTGACTTCAGCAGAAGGTATGGTTAGTGGTTGTAGTGACTTCAGCAGAAGGTAGTGGTTAGTGGTTGTAGTGACTTCAGCAGAAGGTAGTGGTTAGTGGTTGTAGTGACTTCAGCAGAAGGTAGTGGTTAGTGGTTGTAGTGACTTCAGCAGAGGTTAGTGGTTGTAGTGACTTCAGCAGAAGGTATTGGTTAGTGGTTGTAGTGACTTCAGCAGAAGGTAGTGGTTAGTGGTTGTAGTGACTTCAGCAGAAGGTAGTGGTTGTAGTGACTTCAGCAGAAGGTAGTGGTTAGTGGTTGTAGTGACTTCAGCAGAAGATAGTGGTTAGTGGTTGTAGTGACTTCAGCAGAAGGTATTGTTTAGGGGTTGTAGTAACTGCAGCAGAAGGTAGTGGTTAGTGGTTGTAGTGACTTCAGCAAAGGTAGTGGTTAGTGGTTGTAGTGACTTCAGCAGAAGGTAGTGGTTAGTGGTTGTAGTAACTGCTGAAATTTGTCCCTCACCCCTGACTCCTAATATATCCAAATAAACACTCTCTCCCTCTCTGGAGTGACTGCCTTCCCATTCCTCCCCTCCCTACCCCCTCGCTCCCCACTGGGTGCAGGGGTTATCAGTGTAATCCCTCCTGTGTGCCCCCGCCCTTCCCAAATACCATCACCAACCCCTAACACACCCCAGCTGCCTCTCTGTACCCACCAGCACCACAGCAGTCACAGACACGCACACAGCAGAGAGAAGACAGGCAGGAGACAGAGGGGAGACTCAGTGACTAACCAAACTGGAGTAAAAGTGAGGAAACAGCACGGCAGGAAATGAAGAGCCAGAGCCAAGCAGGAAAGCAACATTTGCCTTAATTTAGCACAAAGCAAAGGAGCAAGAGAGTCACATTGACTGAGGGCTGTGAGGACACAAAACATCTGCTGAATACCTGGAGTTTATCTCCTGAAACACCAGGATATAGCAGAGAACAACAAAGGTCTAAACCCTCATCATCAGGCTATAAACCTCCACCTGATCAATAGCATCACTCTGACCTCTGGATCTGGATGTTCATGTAGTGGAGACCTACCTCTTCTTCTCTCCACAAGCGTTCTCAGAGTGGGAAGAGGTTAAAGAACGGAGTGTATTCTCATCGTCTCACTGCTGCTGTGAGAGGAGAGAGAGACAGATCCTCAGAACTACTCCACCAATCACACAGTGAGTAAACATATCTTTATGGTCATTATGTGTGTCCAGGGATGAAGAAGGGCCATGGAAACTAAAACTAAACATCCTAACAAAGATCATGGTCAACTCTCTTCCAGCTCATAGGGTTTATGCTGCTAGTGCATGTTTGGGTGTGATGAGACGTTTAGCATTTGGCATTGTATTACAGGACAGTTTAATAACTTTATTTGAAGGGTTTTAATCCACCCCGTTCATTGCCAGGTTCATATGGAGACTGAATGGAAAGGTAACTATTTAAATCCATGATCCCTTTTTCCCATGATGTTCTCAGAGAGGTCATACATGCTACCTTCATCTCAATACCAACAGTTCTAGTATCAGATTTGTGACCATGACACATGGCTGAGGTACCACCCCACTTCTAAAGACAACTGGAAAGTTGGGTGAAATATATGAAATAACATCCATTATAATTATCCGTTTTCAGAGTTGTTGACTGTTAAAATTTGTGGTAGAGGGTTTCTCAGAAGGGGGGGGGGGGGTTCCTGGCTCATTGTTCTGAGTCTGTAGTCATCCAGGAGACTGGGGGTAGGGCCAAGGGGAGTCTATTTCCTCCTTCCCAGAGGTGCGTAGTTATCTGTGTTTACTTTCCGCACCTCTCACCACCGTACTTTAGGAAAATTAGCTACTCTCACTTTAATGGAGCGACGTTGAGGCTTTTTTCAATCTGTTATGTAAAAGCATGGGCATGCCAAACAGATTCCATTGTGTGCAGGGGATACATTATCAGGCTCCCAGTCTATGTAACTGCAACTGCTAAGGCACCCTAACAGAAGAATAGACCCGCCCAATACCACTTGGCCCATTACCAACTGCACTGCCACTAGTAATAATGAATATACCATTGTACTGTATGATATGCACATAAATAAATGAATTAATAAAACAACCCTAATCATTTTGTTTTCTGAAGACCAAGGGAGGATGAGTCTGTCGAGGAACGGGACCCTGGAGAAGGGCATCACCCAGCTGCATCACATTAACAATGGGGAACCTCTGTCATCACTGCCATCCCACCTCCAGCACACAGGCTCTGTGACCTCTGTGCCAAGATCACCCATGGGGGGGTCAGGAGTGGTGGTGCCACCCCCGTACTCAGTGGCGGGCAGCACGGCAGGGGGTACGGACGCCCCTCTGGAGCTGAGAGGCTCTCTGGACTGCTGGGCATGCTCAGTACTGGTGACGGCTCAGAACCTGATCATCGCACTTGTCAACGGCACACTGGCCAGCATCGTGTTCGGCACCATCTTGACCCCAGCACTGGTCATGGTAGTGTTTGGCTTCCTGTGTCACTCCACGGTAAGACTGCCATCCTGGAAGGAAGTCTGTGTGTCTCAGAGAGATAGAGACAGAGAGGAAAGAGTCAGAGACAGATGGGGAGAAAGAGCATGAGTCACGACCTGAGCATTGTAGTGTGACACATGATGAGTGGTTTTAATATGTGTGTATGTCGTCCCCAGGTGCAGCCCAATGGCACGTCCCTGTACTGTTCAGACCTTCTGGATGACGGTGGCTGTGTGGCCCTGTTGGTGGTGGGCTTTATCCTGGTCACCCCCCTCCTGGTCCTGGCTCTGGCTGCCTACTGCCGCCTGGCCCGCCACCTCCAACTGGGCCTCTGCTTCATCCCCTATAGCAGGGCCGTATACAAGAACTTACCTACCTCGCGCCACCGTGGAGGGGACTGCTGCGGCCAGCATGGGGCCACAGAGGGGGAGGGGAAAGGCAGTGTGTGGGTGTGAGTAGAGTAGATGTTGACCCAACCACTGATGCAGGGTCAGATAACATTTTCTTCCTCCTTATGGTTAAGGTTAGGATTGGGGGTCAAGTAATCTGATCCTAGATCTGTGGATAGGGGCAACTTCTACTTTGAGCAGGGAGGGGAAGAATGTGAAGGAATGGAGAAAGAAAACAGGGCATGAGGCTAGTAGGGAAAGTTGAGGTGTGGAGATTATGTTTATGGAGAACTTTCATATGTCTATAGGTCTGGAGGTGGTGTGGAGGTGGATCTTACAATACACTGGTTCTTTTATAGGTAGAGAGCAAAGGTGAAGCTGTAAAAACATAACTGTGCTGCATGAAGTACTATCAAATATCACTGTAACTCCGCTGTAATTCAATGTCACATTATTATGTATTTTTAAAAATATTCAATCAAGCTGTACTTTTATTACGTTATCCTTGTTTAGAATAAAATATTTTCCATCATATTGAAAAAGGTGCTTTGTGTTAAAGAAATAACGAAAAGGGAAGCAGGTTCTGTTGTCGACTGTCTGGCATGAAATGGCAACATCTCCCTCTAGTGGATCACAACATGTCCACTACCATTACATCACCTCACAAGCCTGTGGGTTACCAGGGCTACTATCATTCTGATGCCATTTGTCAGATGTCAAATATTGACTCTTTAATCCAAGTTTTAATGGAGTTTTAGTCACAAGTGCATCATATAAATGGTGTACAGAATCAATCAAAAAGCTTTTTATGACATAACTTCACTCAGTAACTGTAAGGGTTTGCTTGTATTCACTTGTCGGGCTTGAATAGAATGATGACATTCATAGAAAACTGTTGACAACCTATACTCATATTTTGTGGATAACAAAAACAGTTGTTATGCAGTAATAAATACAGTAACATGCCAAATTTGTTTTTTTAAGTAGGCTAAAACAGTCAACTTCTGTCATGTGTAGATAATCATGGCCTGTTGTAATACAATTGAGAATAGTTGGAAAAAATACTTTGAGTATATTACAGGCTTTCTAATTGCCCATTATAGCAATAGAATAGTATTTTTTTTTTTTTTAAGTGTATTAAAGCTGTGCCAGTTTCATATAAACAACTACAAAATAACCTATTTTCTCCCTACCAGCTGTTGTGCTGTATGTCAGCTGTTTGAAAGTTCACTGCTCAGGGTCACCAAAGGTCAGCGTTGTTCTGCCTATCATTCAAAGTAGGTTACTCAGGAATGAGCAGGTAAGGACACTTTTCAGACATGATCAACTTTATGGTTGTCTTTTGTGTTGGTTGCATTCTCTGGTGTCCTCTTGTGTTGATGATGGACAAGATAGTAATAGCATATGTTGACCTTTAATAAAAGCAATTCATTTTGTATCTTACAATGTGGGGGAACAATATTCCGAATAAAATGTTTTACATATTAGTGTAGGTAAACACATCATCTTGACTAACATTGCATCCCTTACCAATTGGATCACCATGCATGTCCTTGTTTTTAACAGTTCTTTACAAGGGAACATAGCAACACTTCACTGGAAATCTATTTACTGCCAATACTAAGTTGCCAACACACACATACACTGTGTGGGGACAGCGTCGGGGGAGGCATGTTTTGTTTTGTGGCCACGCATTGAGGGATTAGCTATTTAAAGACGCACAGTCGACAGTGGAAAATTTCCATGCCCTCGTTGTATCAATGAGAGAGTGACAGACGCTCTACCAGGGACAAGACAGGTTGCATTTACAGCATCAGTGGTCAGGGGAATGAGCTCTGAGTGCCTCGCGATATCAAACCAGAAGATCTGACATCAAAGAGCAAATGATACAATTATTAGGAGAACTCCAACCAAACCTACTCACTAATCAAGTTCATATCATTTGGATCTTTGATTTACAGGTGAGTTATAGACTATTCTATTCTGTTGGCTATTCAATAGCACCAAGACATCCAGGGATTTTTCGATGTTTTGTTTTCACATTTCAATTAGGTTGACATAACCTTTATACAGTTATTGATTGGCTGTAGGCTATGCCTACATTTGGCTATTGTGATTTTTTACATTTGAGGAATTGGGATTGAGAGGGAGTAAGAGGACAAAGTATCTTACTGAACCAATGCAGCAATTATATCAATATAATTTCTGGGTACCAATTAAATACCTTAGTGTAGTCTAATAGTTTTCCATTAAAATTGAAAAAATAGCTTTTTTAGCAAAAAACTATTTCTCAAGCAAAAATGTTGGTAGGACTGTTTGGGAGTGGTCTGAGTTGGGAGGGGAAAACTGAAAACAACCTGTTATTGACAGAGAGGTTTGGAAAGCTTTTTGTAATTGGTCTATTAACAAATGTACAAAACTCCTGCCCATGCAAACCTGCTGATTAGAAGGTCCTGTGTAGATTGCATTTTCAACCAGCAACTGCCAGGAAATCAAACAGTGATAAAATTTGTTCAGACTTTTACAATGTTAGTTTCATCAGCTGTTGTACAATATGATACAAAACAAAGGAGAAACATAATTTTGACTGCACTGGGACTTGCTATTGTAATTCAGAATTATTTCTCTTACATGATTTCTTAATTTGCATATAGCCCAGGCCTACTTTATACATGAGCTATTTTGTGCATAACAACACACAGAATTTCTCATTTTAAGATCAGAATTTAGAAAATAAAATGCAGTCATTAAATTCTGCATTGAATTCCATTATGGGATACTGAGAGATCTGTTTGCCTTGCTCTGTTGATTTCTGCGTGAATTGCTCTAGTTTCAATGGCAACAACAGATTATCCGACTGCCAGTTTATGTAATGGTCTTTTCAGAGAACGCAGTGTATCAATAGCCTACTGTAGCTTACCGGTTGACCGCAACAGGTCTGGCATGCGAACAAGTGTAGCACCCTCTGGACAGCACCTTTATACAGTAGGCAAAGTAAGTGCACTTGCCCTGTAAACTTAAGGTTACTGAGCTCTCCACTTTTTGCTACATTGGTGGCAGCAGCCCCCGGCCTTGTTGTGCACCATTGGGGTTTTCCTGCAGGCCTGCCTCACAAAAGAGTAGCCTACAGTGTATTGTCCCTGCACAGAGGTTAAGTCTGCGCCCCCTACATTTCTACACTTGTATCAGGTAGCACTATGTGAAATCATTGATATGGAACCTCACATTATTTCAGAATTGAGGGCACAAACTGAAATGGACCTAGGAAAACACACACACGCAATAACAGCTTAGTTGGGCATGTGGGGATCACCATGTTTGGGCTTGCCTTGACCTGTACTGTAAAGGAGAGAGATCTGAGATGAGATCAGCTTGTTGGCAGTGTTTTCCCTTGTTCTCACAATTCCCTGAAGAAACACGCTAAGCCTCCTGGGATTTGCTGCTCAACATAATTTAAGGTTACTTTCGTAACCCTGGTTCTCTGATAATATTAGTGGACTGCGAGTTTGCAGCCTGCTGCTTCGCTGGTCGCTCAGTTAGCACTGGCACTAGCGAACTGCCCTCTCTCTGCTGCGGAGTCTTGGCTCATAGATGGGGAGATCGAGTTGCCACAGTACCCGAGTCTGTGGGCAGGTGGTGGCAAGGCTAGCCTTGACACAGTAGCTTACCTGGTTTTTTAGTCTTTTGGACCGGTTAAGTAAGTAAGCACAAAAACAACTGAATGTTATGTGAACTATGCAAAAGAGCTAAGCTAGCGGTATGCTAGCTGAGGTATGCCACGTGAGCGTTTCGCCAAGCCTAAGTTAGCAGTGGTACAGCCAGCCTTGCCGCGTTAGCTAGCCTGCTTAAGGCTGACTCATGGACCGGATCACCGCATGGTAGGACTGGTTCAGTTCATAGGCACAAAGCAACTTAATGCTAGGTGAACTAAATACGAGAGCTAAGCTAGCAGTCGCTAGACGGTGATTGGTTAGCTAGCTAGTGTTCGCCGTGAAGGCTAGTAGTGTAGCTTAAGCTAGCACGGGCCGGTACTTGGTAAAACTTCATAAAACTTGCAGGACTCGTTCAAGAGCTGCCTGAGCATGTTTGTTTCTCAAGGGTACGGAGGCGTATAATAACAGCGTGAGAAAAGTATTGCTAACCAGGTTATGTGTGTGCTAGGCGATGCTTAGCCGTGAGGCTTTTGTGTAAGCTAGCTAGTGTTCACCCAGTGGACTAATAGCCTAGCTATAGCTAGCACTGCATTAGCCGAAGAAAACCGTGTGAATAGCGTTGTTTCTTCAGTCTTGAGAGTCTCTTTTCACCATAGCACGGTGAGGTGTAACCGGTCAGTTTAGTCAACGAAACGAGTGAACATTAGATGTACTAAACGGGAGAACAAGCTGGCAATTCCTCTGTAGGTGGAAGAGCCAGTAGCAGCTGGCTTCCCAGCATCATCGAGCCACCAGCACAAGATCGAGGGGGTTTAAGTGTCTGCCTCAGGCGGGGTAGCAGTGGCCATAATTTATTAAACCGAGGAGTCAGGTTGGGCTGTGGTCAAGCCACTGTTACCCTTCCTGTGTCCCTAATTCATAGAAAAAGGCCTGCTAACCCAGTATGGCTGCTGTGAATTAGCCTTGACAGGTGTGAGCTAGCTTATTAGATGGCTCACGGCTAATGGCTAGCTGAAGTGAGCACTGTGTATAAACGCTATAGCCGTGGTGGGCTAGTGTAGGCATTAGGTTGTTATAGCTAGTACAGTGCTAGCCGAAGGGAACCGTGTGGGTATTCGTCTTCGGGTAGAAAATCTCCCACGACCGTAATGCCGAGAGGCTAAACCGGTCAGTCTAGTCAACAAAAACTAGTGAACGTAGGTTGTACTACACGAGGGAGCTGGCAATGCTACTGTCTGGGCTAGCCAGCAGACCTGACCCGCTTCCTTACAGCTGCACTAGGGTCGGACAGGCTTCCTGTGTAGATTAAGACACTGCTACTCACAGAATGTTTCATATATATCAAGTTATGGTATTGCATGCATTTCATCAAATGCTCACAGTCAAACAACCAGTAATACTGCACACCTGTGGTTCTTTTCCTGTGTTTCCTGTAGCTCAGTTGGTAGAGCATGGTGTTTGCAATGCCAGGGTTGTGGGTTCGATTCCCACGG